TTCAACTTTTTTCTTTAATTTTCTTTTTCCATTTTTAATGTTTAATATTTCAACTCCGAGATATGAAACTCTCTACTTTGTGTTTAGTTTGAACTCTTTTAGTCATAAAACAACAAACTCTGCCACAATCAACAAAAAGCCAAGGATGCAAATAAAAACTTCTTTTTATGAGTGAAAGTGACTATTTTACTTCAATCTCTTTTGATTTTCAAAACTAAAGAAAAAAAATGGAAAGCAAATTTGTGCATGTTCCTTCCCTTAGCCAATATGTAAAAGTGATTTGATAGACATTATCGTATTTATAAGTAACACATCTCTGAAAATTTGCTATTTTCAGCTAATCCAACAATTATTTATATGTTTTGGACAATGTTTTAAAACTTGCCAAGCGATATAGACGTGTAGTGGTTTAGCTTAGATATTGATATTTTGTTGGGTAAAAATTTTTATTTGAGGTTGCGAAAGATAAATATAGTGACGTCATTTCAAATGATATAAAAGTTTGACTCCATCATACTTCTAACCAGTTTAACTAAAAAATCGACTGTTTGATGGCTGTGTCGGATATCAAAAGTTCTCATATCAAAAAAGGAAATGCGTGACACAAAATTGATATTTGATCTCATGTAACATGACCGATTATAAAGCTAACATCACTTTATTTATTAAATTTATAATGGATGCAATTATGTAATTTAGGTTCTCTCGAAGAACATCTAGATGGTATACGCTTTTGTGAGGTGAGTTCCCTTTTAGGTTAGATTTGATAGAAGATATGTAATGTGTAAATGACTTGCTCCAAATGATTTGTATGTTTCTATTGAAATAGTAGTTGGCTAATAATATTTCAGCAAAATCAATTCAAATTTGGTATTTATTTCTGTTCATGAAGAAGTTCAAATTTTGTTGGTCTGCCCTATGAGAGTTGTGATTTATTAAACCTTTTTCCGGTATATATAATTAAGATAATTTTATGTAAATTTTTTGTTTTATAAAGGGTACACTTGTATAAAGTTGTATTGTATAACGGCTAATGAGGCTCAACTAAGCCTTTGCATCTTCTTTGGGCTTCACAATTTTATTTCTTTGACCCATTTGCTTCAAGCCCCAAATCAAAACTTTGCTGAGTTCTTCAAAAACATATTTATTTCTTATATATCTGCTTAATCTATAAATAAATTTGTTCATATATGAATCACACATCACCATCACCATCACCATCCCATGTCACATTTATATTAATTCTTATTACATCAGTGTAGGAAAATGAAGAAAAAGAATATCTAAAGTTTAACGCCTAGCTGACGAATATGTGACATTATGATTTCAAGTATCGACGTGTTTCATTAAAGTGAAAACTAAAAAACTCCAAGAAAAAGTTGTTAATGTTGGTGTTGGGTCCGTGAACGGTCGACGAGGCCAAATAGATTAATTTCAAACACTTTTGACCTTTGAGCCATACAAGTTTGGTTTATTTTGTTCAACGCCAGACACGTTGCCAAGATATGAGTTGGTGAGTGCAAATCCCATCATACCAACTAATATAAAATTATATCATCATTCATCAATGATATTCTATCGTTTAGAAATAAAATTTAATATCATTAAGTATCATTTATTAAAAGAAAATGCAAAAAAAGAAAAGAAAAAAACACAATCCCCTAGTGTTTATAATGAAAGAAGCAATATGTATATTATATAGTATAAGATATATCTATAGTTAGCTTTGTTCCTCAATATCAATATTGTTTATAATATCAAATTTTGAAAACATTATACTTATTCGGTATACATATTTATCCAAAATTTTTTAACTCATAATCCATTTTTTATATTATTATTTTAACATGGATAGTTATATGAGTAATTATTAGATTGATTAAATATTCAGGATTAATTTTTAAATAAAATATTTAAAGCTACAGTTGTTTCATTGTAGAATTTCTTTTTCTTCTTTAAAATTCTCACCTTTTGTCAAAAAATTACTTAAAATTCTTCTCTACTACTATAATAAAATAGATTGCTTTATCGATCACTGAATGAAATCTAATTTAATATAAATTTCCCTAAAAAAATTAATGAATTTTTGCTTTTACGTATTATGTTATAACTTATAAGTACATTTAGTTGGTTATCTATTCTACATATTATAAAGTTATTTTCCTTTAAATGATCATATTAACCAAGCTGGTCACCAAATCCATCTTATGTAGTGGCATAACAGAACCAAACTGGTCACCAAATACAGTCGTTTCACCTTTCTCTTGATCCATATATATATAAATGTTTGGTGTCAAAAAATAAAATAATATATATATAGAACTATTTCACTATTTTAGAAAATATTTCACCATATATATGTGGATATATAATAAAGTTTTAGTGAGATATATTGAGCAAACTATATAAGGTTAAGATTTATTTAAGACCGGACAAATTATTCATTAGACCCATTATTATTTTATATTGAGTAATTCAAAAAATTTGTATCCGCAACGGTTTAAGCAAATTAAATAGCAAAATAGAGTATCTTTTCAATTCTTTACGCCAATTCTTTTCTTCAGAAAATAAGATTGGAATTTAACTAGTTTAAGAAAATTTATTAACGAGTAAATAGTAATATAGGGCAGCCATAGACAAAATTCTTCAACATGAATAATTGAATATAGACCCGAATTCAAGTTCCTCTTGTCAGGGGCCGGGCAATCAACACAAAACATCGAATGTCTTAGATAGAGATCAAAGTCCAACGGATCAATTTTTAATATTCAAAACACTTTCAAACAACAAGAACAAAAAGTGAAATTTTATATACACATTAAAAAAAATTATTACTTACTGTTTAAAAGAATAGTATTGTTGTCGCTGATTGTTTACTATTTTAAAGAAAATAGTATGTATATAGTTTAAACTTTAAGGAAATCCTTTAAGGAAATCCCTTAGAGCATCTCCAACCCACCTCTATATTTGCCTCTAAACTCTATTATATTTTAGAAGTAAATTTACTCCAACCCACCTCTATTCTCACCTCTAAAATAGAGATCTCTATTTTTTTCTCTATATATAGAGGTGAAAATAGAGAATCTCTATTTTTTCCTCTATAAATAGAGTTAAACTTTTTAGAGGAATAAGTAGAGGAATACATTGGAGTAAAAATAGGGAAAACTCACCTCTATTATAGAGATAGAGGTAAAAATAGGGAAATACATTGGAGACTAGATCATCACCCGTACTATAGTACGGGTTGAATTTCATTTATTACAAAATTAATAAATTTTATGTTTTAGAATAACGTTGTGATATATTATAATAGTAAGTGAAAAATAATATTTTTTTGTCAGTCCCTATATATAATATTAGAATGAATATATTTTCCTTTTTCTATAGTATTCAATTATGGATATTTTTTTTAAAGATATGAAAACGGAAAATAAGATTATTTTATAAAAAAATTAATATTGTTTGAACAATGAGTTAATTTATGTTAACAACCACAAAATGAGAGTGCATATAATTTAGTTAGATCAAAAATCAAAATATCATAAATGAATCGCATCTAAAACGTAGATTATTTTGAATTACTTAAAAAAATTAGCTATTATTTTGAATTAATTTAGGAAATTATTTTTTCAAATTCTGATTCATTGGTTGTTGAAATAGAGATTTGTTTGAGCTAATTACGGAATTTACCAATTATTCACATAATCAAATATGTTATGAACATATATTTGGTATATAATAATACCAAATTCAATCCGTGTGCGGAGTCTATATTTTCATTTTACAATCCCTATGAAAATATTGCGGCATAATCTATTATTTATTATTTTCAAAATTGCTTGCAGAATCAAATTTTCAAATATTTAGAAGTGTCAAACCTTATTTAACCCATCTCATCATAAAATCTTAAAATGCCGTCTGTTATAAGGATCATAACTTTCTACCATATATTACATTACATTTAACCCGCCGCCTACTATAAATATTTTAAACATATCTTTTTAGAAAATCAAATTAATGTATTTATAATTTTTTTTTATCTTTTTAATCTATTAAATATTTATGATATTCTTTAATATATAAAATTAAAAAATTTTAAAATGTTCCAAATTAAAATCCTTAAAATTTTTATTGTAGTATGTAAAATTATGAATTAAAAAAAAATGATATGAAATTAAATATAAATATTCAAATAGTTATAAGGATCATAGCTCATTTTATCATATAATATATTATATTCAACCCGTCGCCTATTATAAATATTTGCTTCAAAAATCAAATTAGAGTATTTATACTTCATAAATTTTTGATCTATTAAGTATTGATCATATTAAAAAAAGGAATATATTACTCAAATATGAATTTTTGACCCGTTAAATTTGTTCTTTCATACATTGAATAATTTATATTCGTTTTTAAAAATTTAAATCTTGGTATATGCGGAAAAAAATTTACTTTTTTTTTATTATATAGATGATATAATGATTTATTTATTTATAGAAATAGAATCATATAAAGATGAGAGGTGAAGTATAATAATTAATAACAAATTAATATGTTAAGTTAGATATCAAATCTTATATGTTCATTTTGATTGGTCATTCTTTTTAAAGAAATTAATAATAGATTTTCGTTTTTATAATTAAATTAAATTAATTAAATTACACAAAATAGTATTTGACTTGTTTATCCTTAATGAGTTGAATTAATTTACTCTATAAAATTTTATTTCTAATGGCATTCTTAAGTAATTTTTTACAAAAGGGAAGGTTAGTTAAGGGTATCTTATAAAGTGTACTCCCCAAATAATAGTATAGGATGGTCTTACATATATCCAAACAAAAATTCCCTACTTCGCTAGATTTCGTAATATAATTTTCTTTAACAAAACCGAGTTAATTAGTACACAATTACACATGTCCTAGCTCTCACCCACTCAGCCCATATATTCCTCACGCTTTCTTTTTGTTTTCCGAAATTTTTTCTTCGGCTACCAAATCAAAATGCATAAATAAACAAACCCTTCTCTTCTTTGCCAATTCCCCAAATCCTCCAAAAAAAAAAAATGGAGACGTTATCGAGAAGCCTAAGTAGGAGCTTAGGAGAGTTGTTAGCGAGTAATAGTAATAACCATTTCTCAAGGAGAAGCGGTTCAACGATCGATGATCACATTCACGACGAGGAAGCTCTTAAATGGGCTGCTCTCGAGAAACTTCCAACCTTCGCTCGTCTTCGTACCACTATCATTCATCCTCATGAAGACCTCGTTGACGTTACCAAGCTCGGTGTCGATGATCGACAGAAGTTCATCGATTCTATCTTTAAAGTCACAGAGGAAGATAACGAGAAGTTCTTGAAAAAGTTTAGGAATCGAATCGACAGGTTTTTATTCTAGATTTTAGTACTACTGTTTTTTTTATATAAATATCTTCTTGGGACATAGAATATATTCTGATAAGTAAATTTCTTGTTTTTGGAATTTTTACTTTTATTTTTTAATGTTATGTTTGTAACATTTATGGCAGGGTGCGGATAAAGTTACCGACAGTGGAAGTGAGATTCGAGAAAGTAACGATAGAGGCGAATTGTCACATAGGAAAAAGAGCTCTTCCCACATTACCTAACGCTGCTTTAAACATTGCAGAGAGAGGTCTTCGTTTGCTTGGTTTTAACTTTACAGAGACCACTAAAGTAACTATCCTCAGAGACGTCTCGGGTATTATTAAACCTTCACGGTAATTAATTAAAAACTTGAAAATTTGCTTCCACATGATCATTTCGATGTTGATTATAATGTATGGTTTTGGTTGCAGAATGACACTTTTATTAGGTCCACCATCATCAGGGAAAACAACTCTTTTATTAGCGTTAGCTGGAAAACTAGACCCAAGTTTAAAGGTTAAAAATAATACACATGATTGATTACAAATTCTAGAAAAAAAAGAGTTAAATTAATAATGTTATTGATGAAAAAATGGACAGGTGAAAGGGAGAGTAACATTCAATGGGCATGGATTGGAAGAGTTTGTGCCACAGAAAACATCAGCATACATAAGCCAAAACGATGTTCATCTTGGAGTCATGACTGTTCAAGAAACTCTTGATTTTTCTGCTAGATGTCAAGGAGTTGGCACTAGATACGGTAATTATCCTTTTTCTTCATGTGAGTTACAACTGAATTTATCAAATTAAGAAAAGTTTGGTTGTGATGTTATAGATTTGTTAAGTGAGTTGGTGAGGAGAGAGAAGGACGCAGGGATCTTGCCGGAACCGGAAGTGGATCTCTTCATGAAGTCCATTGCAGCAGGAAATGTCAAGAGCAGTCTCATCACAGACTATACTCTGAGAGTAATGATTTCACTTTAACCTATAGTGCGATTTTGTCGGAAATAGTGTACAGATTTAATATGTCAAATGAATTAGCTAGGGTGTGAACGCGTAAGAGCATGATTAACAATGGTATCTTAAAAATAGTTCTTAGAAGTATTAAAGTTAAGAACTCTTAGTTTTGGGTCTTAGCTAAGCCACTTTTCTTAGTTTTGGGTCTTAGCTAAGCCACATTTCTTACTTAAGAACTCTTTAAGATACCATTGTTAATGGTGGTCTAAGGTTGCAATCTAATTAATCACTTAGTTTTAAATGCATGCATCTATAGGTTAAAGTGAAATCATTCGAAATATAGTACCAAGTAGAGATTTTAAAACTTGAAAGATAGATTCATGCATTTAAAACAAAAAGTAAAATCATTCAACAGAGGAAAACAATCAGAATAAGAGCATCTCCAATGGTGAGAGCCCTCCAATTTTTTTTTATTTTATTAAGTGTGTTTTCATCTAAACAAATCCAACTAACGCAATTGGTAGACCCTACATTCACCTACTCCCAACTTTTTACCTAAAATTCATGATTCTTTTCAGTTTTCACTGAACAACCCCAATAGTTCCGAAAGTAACCAATTTAGTCAATTTTGTTTGGCAATGTGGGGTAATTTATTGGATTATTTTTCTTCAGATATTAGGGCTTGACATATGCAAAGATACTGTGGTCGGAGATGAGATGATTAGAGGAATCTCGGGTGGTCAAAAGAAAAGAGTAACAACAGGTTTAACTTTCTCTGTTCATCAACCACTCCTATCCATGTTAACTCCATGAGCCGCGAGTCACACGATTACAACTTTTTTCCTTAAAAAAAACAGGAGAGATGATAGTGGGACCAACAAAGACATTGTTCATGGACGAGATATCGACAGGTCTAGACAGTTCAACAACGTACCAAATAGTGAAATGCCTTCAAGAGATTGTCCGGTTCACGGACGCAACGGTTCTCATGTCCTTATTACAACCAGCTCCTGAAACGTTCGAACTTTTTGATGACATCATTCTATTGTCGGAAGGCCAGATCGTGTACCAAGGTCCACGTGATCATGTTCTTACCTTCTTTGAAACTTGCGGTTTCAAGTGTCCCGACCGCAAAGGCACAGCAGATTTCTTGCAAGAGGTATACCTAATCTTATTTTGTTCATTCTTACAAAAGTTTTATCACTTCACCAAGAATTGATAGTTTAGTATATGCAACAAATAAATATGAACCCATATAATATGGTGATCAATTATTTGCAAAAATTTCCAATAACAAAACGTAAATAAGTTGGTTTGTTTATATGTTTTTTTGGCATGTGTTTCTTACAAATAACATATTATTTTACATTTTTACTAGATACGTTATTTTACAATTACAAATTGTAAATTATTACTTTTATATGGTGGTTTTTCCAAAATGACCCACATTTTAATACTTACTATGATAGAAGAAAATCAATCTGATTCACTTGCCTTGGTAAACAGGTAACTTCAAGGAAAGACCAAGAACAGTATTGGGCAGAGACAACAAAACCATACAGTTACATTTCTGTCTCCGAATTCTCCAAACGATTCAGAACCTTCCATGTCGGAGCCAATCTTGAAAAAGATCTATCAGTCCCTTACGACAGATTCAAATCACACCCCGCTTCTCTCGTCTTCAACAAACACTCTGTTCCAAAATCTCAACTCTTCAAGGTCTGTTGGGACAGAGAGTTGCTTCTCATGAAACGTAACGCTTTCTTTTACGTTACCAAGACTGTTCAAATTATCATTATGGCTTTGATTGCGTCGACCGTGTACCTGAGAACGGAGATGGGTACAAAGAACGAGAGTGATGGAGCCGTCTACATTGGTGCGTTGATGTTCTCCATGATCGTTAACATGTTTAATGGATTCGCGGAGCTTGCTTTGATGATTCAGAGACTTCCCGTGTTCTACAAGCAACGAGACCTTTTGTTTCATCCTCCTTGGACCTTCACTCTCCCAACATTTCTTCTGGGAATTCCTATCTCCATCTTCGAATCCGTTGTTTGGGTCAGCATTACTTATTACATGATCGGATTTGCTCCAGAACTCAGCAGGTGAAGATGAGTACGAGTGATGTTAGTTCATTTGGTTTTGAGATGCAAAATATCAATAGGGACTTGAATGTTGTTTCCATTAATCAATGAAAAAAATAAATCTTTTTTTTTTGGGCAGGTTCTTGAAGCATTTGTTGGTGATATTTCTGACACAGCAAATGGCTGGTGGTATATTTCGATTCATTGCGGCAACTTGCAGATCGATGATTCTTGCTAATACGGGAGGATCTCTAGTTATCCTCCTCCTCTTCTTGCTTGGAGGGTTCATTGTTCCTAGAGGTAATATATCTCAATAACTATATAACTGATTTCTTAAAATTTGAAGGTTTTATAATATAAAATCAAATTGTGTTTTGATGATGTATGGTTAATAGGTGAGATACCTAAATGGTGGAAATGGGCTTACTGGGTTTCACCAATGGCTTACACTTACGATGCTTTAACTGTCAATGAAATGCTTGCTCCTAGATGGATGAATCAACGGGTAAACTCCTACGGATATTTCTGCTACAGTTTTAAAACGTCTCATAGAAATTCTTATTTCTTGATCAAATGATTAACTAAGCAACGCTCTTTTACTTTCCTTGTAGTCTTCGGATAACTCGACGAGGCTAGGGTTGGCTGTTCTTGAGATTTTCGATATTTTCACGGATCCAAACTGGTATTGGATCGGGGTAGGAGGCATTCTCGGGTTTACGATTCTCTTCAACATCCTCGTTACCTTAGCTCTGACATTCCTAAACCGTAAGTACACTTATACTGAATGATTGTTTTGATCATTTTTTTTTTTTTTTTTTTTTTGATATACCCTATCGGCTATCCGGTTGGCCCGGTAGGAACGCACCAAGGTGCTACATAGTGGACTTGTCCACCGTGTTAACGGCTAGGCCCTTCGGGCTACCACTCTGCCTATCCCGAGTTTGGTGTGCCTTCCGACTAAGTGCCAGGGGGTAGTCATGCCGCCTGCATTTCTGACTACCAGGTAAACCAATTGGGCCAAAGCCCAACTGACAGACTTCCCACATAATGTTGATAACAGCAGGAGGAGGAATCGAAACCGGAGGGGAGGGACTTTCACCCAAACACCCCTGGCCCACCAACCACCCGCCCACCACCACATGGGCATCATTTTATTATTAGAATCATATATCTACAATAACTTGAGACCTAAATGTAGTATATAAAGAACATGGGAAATTGAATTCACCATGGAAGAACATGAACGTTGACATTTATTTTTGTTCCTTCTTAATTAAACAATGTCACTTTTTATTGATATGCCAGCACTTGAGAAACAGCAAGCCGTTGTTTCAAAAGAAAATGCAGAGGAAAACAGAGCAAAAAACAGAGCAGAGAATGGCTTAAAGAGTAAGAGTATTAGCGCGAAAAGAGGAATGGTTCTACCTTTTACACCTCTCACAATGTCTTTTGACAATGTAAACTACTACGTCGACATGCCTAAGGTAACACCAAATCCCAAATCCTTGTGGACATTAAAAGTTAAAACCATAATGATGTATTAACCAAAAAAAAAAAAAAAACAGGAAATGAAGGAACAAGGAGTTTCCAAGGATAAGCTTCAGCTACTAAGGGAAGTGACAGGGGTCTTTAGGCCAGGTGTACTAACAGCTTTGATGGGAGTTAGTGGAGCTGGTAAGACTACTTTAATGGATGTTTTAGCGGGTAGAAAAACCGGTGGATACATCGAAGGAGACATCAGAATCTCCGGTTTCCCTAAAAGACAAGAAACCTTTGCAAGAATCTCTGGTTATTGTGAACAGAACGATATCCACTCACCACAAGTCACTGTCAAAGAGTCTCTCATCTACTCTGCTTTCCTTCGTCTCCCAAAAGAAGTCACTAAAGATGAGAAAATGGTAACACTTCTTCTTGTAACTTCACACCATTTGTGTTATGATCTCAAGCCATAGACTAATGCATACACCAACTTTTGCAGAGATTTGTGGATGAAGTGATGGAGCTAGTAGAGCTAGAGAGTCTAAAAGACGCGGTGGTCGGGCTTCCAGGGATCACAGGGTTATCAACAGAACAGAGGAAGAGACTTACAATCGCAGTGGAATTAGTGGCGAATCCATCTATAATCTTCATGGATGAGCCAACCTCTGGTCTTGACGCAAGGGCTGCAGCGATTGTGATGAGGACGGTGAGGAACACAGTTGACACAGGAAGAACTGTGGTCTGCACAATCCACCAACCTAGCATTGATATCTTTGAAGCTTTTGATGAACTTCTGCTTATGAAGAGAGGAGGACAAGTGATTTACGCTGGTCCTTTAGGTCGAAACTCTCACAAGATTATCGAATATTTCCAGGTCAGATTCTACATTTAATTTGTTAAGATTTTGATATTAAAATGTAAGAACTTTCATGATCAGTACTCTTTTGAGAAACCGCAGGCGATTCATGGAGTTCCAAAAATTAAAGAGAAGTATAATCCGGCGACATGGATGCTAGAAGTGAGCTCAACGGCTGCAGAGGCCAAGCTTGAGATAGATTTTGCTGAGCATTACAAAACATCATCCTTATATCAGTAAGTCAAACCTAGTTTTCTAAGCTAAGGTCATTCCAAACATTTTTACTCAATTACAATTGGTCTTGGTGTAGACAAAACAAGAATCTTGTAAAGGAACTAAGCACACCACCACAAGGAGCACGAGATCTCTATTTCTCTACACGGTTTTCACAATCATTGTTAGGACAATTCAAATCTTGTTTATGGAAGCAGTGGATAACTTATTGGAGAACTCCTGACTACAATCTAGCCAGATTTTTCTTTACATTAGCTGCAGCTGTCATGCTCGGATCAATTTTCTGGAAAGTTGGCACAAAAAGGTTTGTTCAATGACTTTAATCGAATAAAGGCATGTACCAGAGTTCATACTTACATAAACTCTAAAAAATTTGTTTTACAAATAGGGAAAATGCTAATGATCTTACAAAGGTTATTGGAGCAATGTATGCTGCGGTTTTATTCGTGGGCATAAACAATTCCTCATCTGTCCAACCGCTAATAGCTGTGGAACGAAGTGTATTCTATAGAGAAAGAGCTGCTGAAATGTATTCTGCTTTACCTTATGCCCTAGCACAGGTGAGATTAAACTAGAAACGTTTTAGTTACTTGACAAACAAGAAACCTTGTAGTAATTGAAGTAGTCTTTAACTAAAACTTTTTAATGGTTTCAGGTGGTATGTGAAATACCGTATGTGCTGATCCAAACTACATATTATACACTAATAATATACGCAATGCTCTGTTTCGAATGGACAGTGGCCAAATTCTTTTGGTTTTACTTCGTATCATTTGTCTCCTTCCTCTACTTCACATACTATGGGATGATGACAGTTGCCCTCACCCCGAACCAGCAAGTCGCAGCCGTTTTTGCCGGAGCTTTCTACGGACTTTTCAACCTCTTTTCTGGTTTTGTCATCCCTAGACCGGTTAGTGTTGCTTACTTTTCTGGCAAGAAAGCTTAAGCCCTAAATGCATTTCTTTTGATTCTATCATAAGCTGGTTTTACTTTCCTCCTACAGAGAATTCCGAAATGGTGGATATGGTATTACTGGATCTGTCCAGTGGCTTGGACTGTGTACGGATTGATTGTTTCGCAGTACGGTGACGTGGAGGATACGATTAAAGTTCCGGGTATGGCAAATGATCCGACGATAAAGTGGTACATTGAAAACCACTATGGATACGACGCAGATTTCATCGTCCCGATTGCTACCGTGTTAGTGGGCTTTACCCTCTTTTTTGCTTTTATGTTTGCTTTCGGCATAAGAACGCTCAACTTCCAACAACGATAGAGTGTAGTTGCGGGACATGTTTGGTGTGAAGGAGAAAAAAAAGTGAAAAATTAGGGTTTATACCATATAATAGTTTGTGATTGATGCTTAATTGATTGTAAGTAAAGTGTACAATGAATACAATACAATAGACTCTGGGAGAATTTTCCGGTATTATCATCTATAGACAGTCAGTTTTGGTTACTTATGTTGCAAGAAATCTCTGACTTATGGGTCCGACCCGAATTTTATTGGCCCAAATCAAATCCTATTTTTCTAGTGGGTTTTGACTCTTGCTTTCATGTTTGGTGTTAGCCTTCCGCGTAAAATTCCAACCTAGCTTAGAGGATTTAGAAGTCAAATGCGTTTGTTTTATTTTTATGGAGTATACTTTTTCTAAGAACGTGAAATCATGAAGCGATTTGAGTAAAAAATAATAAAAGGACAAAGTTATGAAAGCTTGTTCAAATCTCAATCACATTTCCTACTAAATAAAGAACTATTAATGTGTGTATCAGTGTATGGTAATGCTTTGTGATATTATCCAATCTCTTTAAATATAAACCACTTGTTGTCTCATCTCTTATTCAAAACGTGTATCTTGTAAGAACACGTGCTTCTTCTAATATAGATAGATCGCGTAACAAACAAGTGGATTGAAATCAAAGCTATAGTTTATTGCGTTAAATAATATTATCCTCACATCTTTTAAATTCAATTATTTCATTATCTTGGTTATCAGAACTGAATTTTGTCGGTAACATTGTGTCTATAAAAAAAATTATCCTAAACAAAGAAAGAAACGATATAGTATAAATTAGTTCTTTGTCATAAACGATAATTTCCAGGTAAGATTAAGGATAAAACAAAAAGCTTATAATAGCAATTTAAAACACGAATTCAACGTACGATCCACCACAATCCTCGTCGTCTTTCAAACATTAAATACCGAAATTACCCTTACCTTCTTCTTTCCTTAAGAAATCAAAACCAAGTCCTCATCTTTTTTTTTTTCTATGGTCGCAATTACCTCTATCTAAAATCTTCTTTGAATTTGTGTATTCGCTAATCTTATTTTCACGAAGCATTTATTACCAAAAAGGTTTCGTTTTTATTTGTTTGTTTGTGTCTTTTGTGTGAATGACTCGTCGGTGTTCGCATTGTAGTAACAATGGGCACAATTCACGCACGTGTCCAACGCGTGGTGGTGGCACGTGCGGTGGAAGTGGCGGAGGAGGAGGAGGAGGTGGTGGTGGAGGTTCTTGTTCCTCCTCCGCCGTGAAGTTGTTCGGCGTAAGGTTAACGGATGGGTCGATTATTAAAAAGAGTGCGAGTATGGGTAATCTCTCTGCATTGGCTGTTGCGGCGGCGGCGGCAACGCACCACCGTTTATCTCCGTCGTCTCCTCTGGCGACGTCAAATCTCAATGATTCGCCGTTATCGGATCATGCCCGATACTCTAATTTGCATCATAATGAAGGTTATTTATCTGATGATCCTGCTCATGGTTCTGGGTCTAGTCACCGTCGTGGAGAGAGGAAGAGAGGTAAAGGAATCGACTTTACATTTTTATAATCGAGTGTTGGTAATGTGAGAATTTTGGTTCGTCTGATTGCAAATTGATAGCAAAGTTTTGAACTTTGAAATTGTAATTGCTATAAAGGTTTTAGCTTTGAAGTTGCTTGCGGTTATTGCAGAAATTGAATGGGTTTTAGGTCTTACTGGTTACTTTTTTGGTCTTGATTGGTTACTAAAGTCATTTCATTTGTGAATCATATTGTTGAATTTTAGTTTATGGACATATGTGTATGAAGATGAAAGGTTTTGGGGTTCTTGAATGTGATATGGTTTACTTGTACATTGGGATTTCAGGTGTTCCTTGGACTGAGGAGGAACACAGGCTATTCTTAGTAGGTCTTCAGAAACTTGGGAAAGGAGATTGGCGCGGTATTTCGAGAAACTATGTCACTTCAAGAACTCCTACACAAGTGGCTAGTCATGCTCAGAAGTATTTCATTCGCCATACTAGTTCCAGCCGCAGGAAAAGACGGTCTAGCCTATTCGACATGGTTACCGATGAGATGGTTAGTATCTTTTCTTCATTGATTTTTGTTATTCTGTCGAAATGTTTGGAAACTTGTATTGAATGTCTCCTCTGTTTTGCTACCTTTAGGTAACCGATTCATCGCCAACACAGGAAGACCAAAGTCACCAGACCTTAAATCGTTTCTCTCCAATCAAGGAACCTGAAAACAAAATCTACCTTCCTTCACTTGAGCTCTCACTCAATAATACCACAGAATCTGAAGTGGTCGTAGCCACGGCGCCACCACAGGAAAAAACTGAAGAAACTATAGAACCATCAAACGGGGTTTCACCAATGCTAGTCCCGGGCGGCTTCTTTCCTCCTTGTTTTCCAGTCACTTACACGATTTGGCTCCCTGCGACTTCCACTTCACTTCACGGTACAGAACATGCCTTAGAAGCTGAGACTTCTTCTCAGCAGCATCAGGTCCTAAAACCAAAACCTGGATTTGCTAAAGAACGTGTGAACATGGACGAGCTGGTCGGTATGTCTCAGCTTAGCATAGGAATGGCGACAAGACACGAAACCGAAACTTCCCCTTCCCCTCTATCTTTGAAACTAGAGCCCTCAAGGCCATCAGCGTTTCACTCAAACGGCTCAGTTAATGGCACAGATTTGAGTAAAGGCAACAGCGCAATTCAGGCGATCTGAAAAGTCTTTGTTATTGTGTTAAAGAATGAAGAAGGAAGTCCCTGAACAGATTAAACAAGAGGATGTTCCTGGTTTAGGAAGAAACAATCTAAGGCATAAGCCATTAGAGAGAATCAGAGAACAAGTACTTACAACGAAAAAACAGATCAAACTGTAACAATAGACTTACCAAACAGTCAAATACATTTCTCAGCATCACGTCATACTTACATAAGCTAAGCGTAATTTACAATTTTACCCTTCATATTAATGTTTTAAGGCATATAATTTAATTATTTAGAGATTCGACAATAAGAAATGTTACAAAACATAAACTTGTTGCTACCGTTCGACCATTTGTTACTGTTAAATGTTCGACAAGAACATTAAAATGGATATAAGCAGAAAAGAAAGAGAAAAAGAGAGAAGAGTATTTGTTCTTTGTTGTGAAGCTGCTTTCAGCAATGGCAGCACAAATCAAATCAGGAGACGAAAGAGAATCAATGCTGCGTTGGGAATGAAAAGGGACCCTAAAGTCGAATTTTGTAAATGATTGCAATTTCTGCCCCCATAAGTTCCTAAATATATTCCAAATGAGCCACTCTCTAATGCTAAAATAGTAAAAATGTGTCAACATTTCTCCAAATGTGTATTCACACTATCTTCTTCTCTTTTCATTATGTTCCTTTCTTGTGCTTCAATCTGCCGTCTCTTTCGTTTCTCGAACGACTAGTACGGCTTTTATATCAGGATTATTCTTGTAATTATCTTACGTTTTGGATGGATGTTGTGTCACCATTTATATCGTTAGAAGCGTTTGCAGTGGTCAATTATACCTAATGCCCTCGAATTACAAATTCTTTTATGCATGGCCGCACAAGCATGGTCGATTGTAGTTAATACATTTAAACGAAAAACTTTTTGATACATATATATATAAATAAATGTTTAAGCATTTAGCTCTTTAACAATAGAGAAAACTAATTGAAGTTAGTTAGGTGACATATTTTAACTTTTTACCATTAATTGAACTACCATTTTATATTTTGGTTTCGAACGGCGATAAAAATAGAATAATGAGTTTGAATTACATTTCCTAATGAGAGAGAAGTTATAATCTAGCTAGTGTCTTAAATATTAAATTGTAGAACTTTCTGCAACCACAAATGCATAGTTAGATGCAATAGTATTTCGAGAACAGTCTCACAAGAAAGAGATATCTAAGTATCTAACACTAGAGTTTAATCTATGTTTACAATGAATTAAGCCTTTATAAATGATGGTATGGTACGAGTCCAAATTATGTTTAACTAAGCTAAGTCCTAAGAATTGTGTGAAAGAATGGAGGATAAGATGTTTTTGGAGACTAAATGATGATTACACTCTATAGCTTGTACTAAATGGAATTCTATGGGAAATAATGTATTCTGATCATTTCCAACCTATTACTCTATTTTTATTCTCTAAAATTGAGTTTTTCTCCAACATAACTCTAAAATATATGAATAGACTAGAGAAATCCAAATATAGAGAATAAAATTTAGAAATCTCTATTTTATATAGTAGGGTTGGAGAAATTTTAAATTTAGAGGTGGATATAGAATGGGATCAGAAATGCTCTCTAACTCACTAAAGATAAAGACATGGTGGTCTTTTAGAGATGATAAGGGACTTAACTAATCTAATATATTGAGTACCCACTGCCGTGATCTAAGTAAGCCACCTAGGATATCTTAGAGTTCCAACCTCACTCAAATGATACTAAAATTTCCCAAGAGGTTATAAGAACAATGCCAAAATCTTGTTGCTAAAATGATTCATCACTTAATCTTTCGAAATGTTTCAAACCCTCTAATAAATGGTCAAACGTCCTTCATGATGGTTTCTTGTCACCAGTTTTGTTTGTCAAATAGTAATGAAACTTGTTTGCCGTGGACCCGTGGTTGTGCAGCCTCATCTGTAACAACTAACAAACACGAATTCAAACTTCTTCACAATGACCATTATGTTTGCACCAATCACATTTATACTCAAAAGAATTATTGTTATTGTTCTGTTTCAACTCTCAACCATGACAACTACTCAAAACTTGATAGTATTTTCTAGGTGGGATGAGTAAATGAAATTGGATATTAACATGTTATGTCGGAAGATGGTTCCCTATGATTTAATGAAAACTCTAGTCTATATTTTATTTTACTTTTATGATTATGATTAGTCGTTATCGGCCGATTTATTTGGTTTCTAATTATTATTGTATAGGATTATAGCTTTTTCGGATTGGGAGGAATCATGTTCATAATATCGCGGAGGTGTAATTATTCATGAAAGTGATAGAGGATAAAAATAAATTTGTTTAGCATATACTTTATTTAACGGGTGATAGATGATTGAAGTTACGTCTCTTAAATAATAGGATATTATTGAATTGATATTAATCGTTGAGAAGAATGTTTTATTGGAGTAATCAACACAATTAAAAGAATTAAAAATCTGTTTATGTGTCGACATTTGAACTTTTAAGGAGTCATCTTCAATCACGAACCAGTCAACATTGTGCCTTTTACGAAATACTTAGTTCAAATTAGGTGCTAATAGCTACTTGTAATAACTTTAGTAGCACAATTCTCGCATCATGTATATCCAACAAAAAATCTCAAGATTACTTTCCGAAGAATATCTATCATTCAAGGAAAAAGAGTAAACCTCTATTGATCTTCCAATCATAGGAATTAATAGTGGAAGAAGCTAGCCTTCTAAAGTATTTACAAGATTGATTTTGTCTTGAATATGGGTTTGTACTTTATATTATTAATCTAGCCTATACTCGCAATTTCCTAATTATTCATTTATACCAGAAAGATATTGACGAGTTTATAATATTTAGGATTAGCTAATCTTGAAAAGTGTCTTTAGTCAAGTGGTTTTTTCACGGAGTTCAATTCCACTAAATCGTGTTATCCTACCTAATAAGGATTGGTTATGGATCGACAGTAATTCTTTTTTCTTAAAAAATTAAAATGATATATTTTTCTAGAAATTTTCAGTGTTTGATAGTTGATACCATGAAAAAACTATTTATCACAATTAACACATATCCAAACAAAATTTAAATAAATGTCGTGAAAATTTTCCGCTTTTATTAAAATCTTGTCTTGTATAATAAAAATGTAATCGTAACAACATTTGATTAAAATACCAACTTTTGCTATAGATTCGATCACTTGTGGGTTTTATAATGTTAAACCTCACAAGTTTTGCATGATTTGTATTTTCTAATTTTTTTTTTTTTTTGGTAAAAGTATTTGTTGTTAGAGGGGAAGTTCGGAATTAAGGAGAATAATCGAGATGAGACAGCAAGCAATAATAAAACTTATATTCTAAACCCACTTCCATCGAAAATATGTAGTAGACAAGTCCTTTATGTGAGATTGGTTTGGTGTGGGCGGAGGAATAAATAAAGCTAAAATTTGTATATGATCAATCTCTCTCTCTCTCTCTCTCTTCTGTAATTCGATCTCACGATGCTTGTCTGAGAGAGAAAGAGATAGAGAAAGAGAACAAATTATGCTGTAATGATAAAAAGATCTTTTATGTCTTTGTGTCAATCATTTAGATCACACTTGTTATGTGCTCTGCTTTTGGTTCAGTTTTTCCTTTTTAGATACTTGTTCCTTGTTTCCAATAACAGAAATTTATGGTTTATTTTTTACTCGTTGGATATATGTATCTTATTCTCTCTTTTGTTTCCTACTTTTTTTTTTGGTTACAAAATAGAAGTAGGAAACACACGCATCCGCACAAGTACTAGCCTTTCCTTGGCACACAACACCCTCTCACCTCCACACATAAATGGAAGAAATTTGGAAAAGATTTGTAACTAATATTTCAGTGTTTGTTGCAGCGGTGAAAGAGAAAACACATCAAACAGAAATCTATCTATTTCATGTATTGGTCATCATGATACTAACTTTGACTATGTTTTTAATTAAAAAATGTTGTTTAATGTTTGTCACAAGATACAATCCTTAAGTAATTGGATTCCGAACCCAAAATAAAAAACTTCAGTTTAATATTGCTTGCTGTTGTGAAATAAAAGTTTTCTTCTCTACCACAAAAAGATAAGCAATAATAGTGTTTGTTCAACAATTTTTTCTTCCAAAAGTACAACATATTTTTGCCCATTTTGTAAATTCATATGTACATAGTTTGAATTGGTGAAATTGGTACTATTAAAATCAGGAAATCACAACCTTAAAATTAACAACAACAAAAAAAAAGATAATGATATTATAGAAAACTTTGTGAAAACATGTATTAAATATTCGGTAATTAATCAAGACGGAAATGGTCTGTTCAGAATATTATTTTCTTGAACTGTATACTTTTTCCAATCTAGAACTTTTCTTTTTCACTTTCAGGAAAATTCTTGTCCACATACATTTTATATTTGCCCCCATTTCCAAAGGTGTGTTTCGTATAGTAACAACGTTTAGCTTTTAGGTTCTAAATTCGAAATTTACCTGTTTCTGTGATGTACGTATTTAAATAATATTAGATGTATTCGCCAGTCATTAGATCCTTTGATTAATTTATTAATTTAGAAGCATTTCAATCATGTTTTGGGCAATAGATCAATCATCCACAGTAGTTTAACTTTTTCCTAATCCTAATTAATGGATCCTACTATTAATTAAACAATCCACATTGAGAAATTCTCTAATATATGTTGAAATCTCTTATTCAAAACTTTAAGATAAAACATAAACTTAAAAAAATTAAACAATACTATACATTAGAAGTTATATCAACACATTACACCTACCATTTGTTATATGTATCTTTTTTATAGAGAAGTTATAGAAAATAACACTGATAATGCATCTAGTTGTCATCGAAATAAGCTGATAATAACGAATACACGTTTTCCTTTTAATTCTGGAGTAGAATACAGCATTCATGCCCTTAGAGCATCTCCAACTCATCTCTATATTTGCCTCTAAACTCTATTTTAGAGGCAAATCTACTCCAACCCACCTCTATTCTCACCTCTAAAATAGAGATCTCTATTTTTTTCTCTATATATAGAGGTGAGAATAGAGAATCTCTATTTTTTCCCCTATAAATAGAGTTAAACTTTTTAGAGGAACACATTAGAGTAAAAATAAAGAAAACTTACCTCTATTATAGAGATAGAGCTAAAAATAAGGAAATACATTGGAGATGGTCTTACGTTGCAGGTTCCCATCATTTTACATATATTCTCTTCTCTTTTCTACTTTCTCTTTTTTGATGTAATATGAATTTTTTTATTCTATATTTCCCTATATATATCTCAGATGTCCAACGTTTCAGTATTGCATTGCCACTCGAATTACCTAAGATAAAAACGAATTATATATCACTTTGATTTTTCGCACTTATTGTTAATCTATTCTCAAAATTTAAACAAAAATGCAGAGGCAAGTGGCACTCATTAAGCAGTCCCTCTTTGATCAGGTTTTTAGTTTGTTTCTTAGTATTTTCGTAATATATATTCGTACCACTTATATATGAATTTCTTCATATAAAAAAGAAAATGACTAATATGGGAAAATGCATGCAGGGATATCTCGACGAACAATTCATGGAGCTAGAAGAGCTCCAAGATGATGCAAACCCTAATTTTGTTGAAGAAGTTTCTGCATTGTACTTCAAAGATTCAGCTCGATTAATCAATAACATTGACCAAGCTTTGTGAGTAATTTTTTTTTATATATATTGTTTTCTAGTTTTGCATATCTTTTTTAAGTTTTCTAATCATTTCAAGTTTAACAATGCAGGGAAAGAGGAACATTTGATTTCAATCGGCTGGATAGTTACATGCATCAGTTTAAGGGAAGCAGCACGAGGTAAATTTCCTACCTTAGTTTTGACTATTCTAATAAAACTTTCAAGAAATAATTTTACTTACAAAATTGAAAAGAATAAGTACTTAAAATGTTTTTAAGATAAAAGAGTGTAACACAGAGTACATTAAAAGTACTTCTACTCTCATTCATGATTCAATGACAGAATCTACTTAACTAGAAATAACTAGATTTTAGGAACGTAGTTAATTAGCAATGCTATATATATATATATATTATATATATATTGACATAATGTTGCATTTTCTTTTTTGTAGCATTGGGGCAAGTAAAGTGAAAGCTGAATGCACTACGTTTAGGGAATACTGCAGAGCTGGAAATGCTGAAGGGTACATTCGTCTTTACACTTACACCCTTCATGCTTCTCATTTTTTTACAGAATATAAAGTTATGGGGTCAAAATGAAAATAAGTAATAGTAAGGGATTAAAATTGCGGCTATCCACTAAACCTTAAACTTTTACTTTATTAAATTTTCGACTCCCTAATTAGTTTTCTTGGCTGTTGCGACGAGCGCAGATGCTTGAGGACTTTCCAGCAACTGAAGAAAGAACACTCAACGTTGAGAAAGAAGCTTGAACATTATTTCCAGGCAAGCCAATAATCATTTATGCTTAATGATTTACATAATTATGTGATTAGAAGTTAAAAAAAACAACACTAATCACTTTTCTTACATAGCATTTACTGAAGTTAATTTTGTAATGAAAACAGTTGGCAAGGCAGGCGGGGCCTAAGGAGACAGCACGTAGGCCCAAGTGAGGGAGAGAGACAGAGATAAATGAGAGGAATCGTCATCGAATTTTGCAGAAATCTATATAATAAATAGTTCCTCTTTGTTTTTAATATATTTCGATGTACGTTATAAAGAGATCTTGCCTTTTTCTATTATGTATGTTAATAAACGGTCCAAATTTCTCTATGTTTTTTTCTTCCTTTATTGGTCGATTTTTTTCCTTAAGAGTTTTATATCTACGATTACCTCGTATTCGTAACATTTTGGCTTCCTATAATAACGGAATACAGAAAGAGTGGACCAGAAAAACTTCATTTATCGATTCTATGATGAATGCATTACCTTGTTTACGAAAAAAAAAAAATGCATTACCTTATTCGGGTTGTTCCAGAAACCGTCGTTCAAAACCTAAATATTCTTACCTATTTGATGTCATTATATTACTATTTTTCTCTACTAGTACTGATTATATAAAAAAAGAAAAAAAGAATACAAGGCTTAAAAGTCTAAAATAATAAACATTATCATAATAACACTTTTCATTCAATTACTCTATCATGCCCATTTTTCATACGATGTGAATTCTAAACGACTATATATGCATGAAAAAGATCTCCCCAATGCAAAGAAATAAATCAAATGTTTTCTTGTGGATAAAATAAAACGTTTTCTTTCAATGGCCTAGCATTTATTATAATTTATTTCAAGTTCTTCCACGTAAAGTCTACACTACAAACAAGAGTAACGCTGATTCGTAGAGATAGAGAGTAGAGATCAGACTGAGAGAGCAATAAATTTCTCTTCCGAAAGAAAAAGAAAAAACAAACAGAACAGCCTAATATTAGAGATATATTTACTAATTTACATAACCTATAGTTCTTCATCTTTTTTTTTTGATAAACTATGAGATGTTTTATATACATATGAATGAAATTAATTGGTTAATTATTATCCAAAGCGACGTGAAACCACTCTCATTTATTAGCCTAGCTATATCTCACAACCTCCATCTTCCTTACTTTAAAAACACAGACCAGATCCTATTTATGGCATCCATGTGCACCATTATAAGGTAACTTTATTTAATAAAACTTACCTATAATATCGCATTATGCAAAAAACAGGCTGGTTCAATTTTTTCCACGAATCACAAATAGTTGGAGAAATATTGAATAAGAGAGAGATTCAGACTTCAGAGTTGACACAACATTGAAGTAAACTAACTCCTAACCTCTTTATCTATGTATATATAAATAAACCAAAGTACATATAATCTTCACCATTCACACATACCAAAGCAAAAACATGGATCGTTGCACGTCGTCGTTTTTGCTTTTCACGTTGGTCTCTACCTTGTCCATTCTCCAAATCTCCTTTGCTCAACTTGTTCCAGCAATCATGACATTTGGTGACTCTGTAGTTGATGTCGGCAACAACAACTATCTTCCGACCATTTTCAGAGCTGATTATCCTCCTTATGGCCGTGATTTCGCTAACCACAAAGCCACCGGCCGTTTCTGCAACGGCAAATTAGCTACTGATATCACCGGTAAAAGCTTTTACTTGTAACTCAAGTTATCTTTTTAAGTTGTTTGTAACTGAAGTCTTTTGTGTTTGTGTTTTTTTCTCTGTTACAGCTGAGACTCTAGGCTTCACTAAGTACCCACCAGCTTATCTAAGTCCTGAAGCTTCTGGTAAGAATCTTCTCATTGGTGCTAATTTCGCTTCTGCAGCTTCAGGTTATGATGACAAAGCTGCTCTTATCAATGTAAGTGACTGTTCTTTCTTCTGATACATTTCTTCTTTGATCTGTTTCTTTTTTTGTTTTCTGATTTTGGTTCTTTTTTTTGGCAGCACGCGATCCCGTTGTATCAGCAAGTAGAGTATTTCAAGGAATACAAGAGCAAGCTCATAAAAATTGCAGGAAGCAAAAAAGCTGATTCGATCATAAAGGGAGCAATCTGTCTCTTAAGTGCTGGAAGCAGTGATTTTGTTCAAAACTACTATGTGAATCCTCTGCTTTACAAAGTTTACACTGTTGATGCGTACGGTTCTTTCCTTATTGATAACTTCTCTACATTTATCAAGGTAAAACATTTTACTTGGTTACCTTCTGTTTTCAATATTGAAGACTACAAGAAAGTTGAGTTTTGATTGAATGTTGCAGCAAGTGTATGAGATTGGAGCAAGGAAGATCGGTGTAACTTCTCTGCCTCCAACGGGATGTCTTCCAGCTGCAAGAACTCTTTTCGGTTTTCATGAGAAAGGCTGTGTTTCAAGACTCAACACAGATGCTCAAAATTTCAACAAGAAACTTAACGCTGCTGCTTCAAAGCTTCAAAAGCAATATTCCGGTCTTAAGATTGTTGTCTTCGACATCTTCACCCCACTATATGAACTTGTTCAGAATCCTTCCAAATCCGGTAAGTCCCCAAAATAGACTGATATATAGTTTAGTTATAACATTTAGTGTTGCTGATGATGTGCTTTAGACAATCCATGACACATTCATCTTTTTGTCAAACAGGATTCACGGAAGCAACCAAAGGATGTTGTGGAACAGGAACAGTGGAGACAACTTCACTCTTATGCAATCCGAAATCGTTAGGGACTTGTTCCAATGCTACTCAGTATGTGTTCTGGGACAGTGTTCATCCTTCTGAAGCTGCCAATGAGATTCTTGCCACAGCGCTAATTGGACAAGGATTTTCTCTCCTCGGTTGATCCCAAAGTATTTATCTTATATTCTCTTTTCAAATCGCTGTTTCTATTGCACCTTGAGTCATACATTTATTTCTATTTGAATTATGTATCAAACCACCACTATTTTATTAAAAATGTATTGAAACTTCTTACAAGAAAACCAAGAGTTGAGATCATTTAGTACCAGTAACTATACACAACAACTTCCCTGTGTGATTTAAAGATCTACATATACTATTTCTATGAGCGAAAACTATTGAAGGGTTAAAATGAACAGAGTAGAATTCCAAGCAGTGAGAATGCTCAAGCCACAGCAGCAGGGCCAATCTCTAAGCAGCTTCAATCATTGCAATTTGTTTTCCTCCTTTCTCTGCCTTTCCTATCAAAGTGGATCTTGCTTCTTCATTAAGACCCTCCTCAGATGTTGTTGCTTTTGAGCATGTTGCAGCCTCTAAAGTTCGGTTACCATCATCCTTAAAGACCAGTTTCTGTTTAGCACCACTTTTGGCAACGGGATAAGCCTGCAGGAGAACATCAACTTAGAGAATGGAACTTTCAACTCAGAAAACATTTCAAACTAATTCAACCCAAAAACCATGGTGATAATGAAAGATTCAGCCCTATTTTGTTGTTAATGAAAGCATACCGGGTGTTTGTAGACCAGGTGCAATGATCTTTTCTCCTTGAGAGGAGCTTTCCCAGCTGAAGCCTGAGTTATAATTGGAACTGTGAGCGATATTTAATGCAAAAGACAGGTTTTGGATATGATTGGAGATACAGAGAAATGCTTACATAGGTAGAGATGTTTTGGTGGCCAGACATTTGTGGTAACTGAGTGCTCATATAGTAATAAGGTGTACCGACATTGAATGGCTGCAAGTAAGCATATGAGCTGGGCATATATGAGAGGACTGGCTGGGCAGGTGAAGGGACAAGTGGAGCTTGCGTGTAATGGCGTGTTTGTCCATGGAAGTATTGCTGCAGCCTCTTGAGTCTATCCTCTTTGCGCTCAGCAACTCGAACAACTAATGGCTTTCCATCAACTGAAAACCCTGTAAGTGGCAATAGTAAGAGTACTCCAGATTTAGTCAGTATATATCAGATTGGTCTGGCACACAGATAAAGTAAGCTACTTTAGTTATATAGTATATGTACCATTGAGATATCTTTTAGCCTGTTTGGATTCTTCAAGGTTCGAGAAGCACACAAAGCCGAAGCCTTTACTTCTGCCATTCTCATGACACATCACTTTAGCTGAGACTATTTGCCCATACCTTCCAAATATTTCTCGCAGTCTTATATCATTCATTGATTCACTCAGGTTCTTCACGTACAGATTGGACCACCCCATGTTAGTCTTGGCAATAAAGTTGTCCCTGTATTTTTGTTTCAGCATCTCCCTCCTTTCATCTCTCTTCAGTGCCTTTCCAACAAACAAAGTCTTCGTTCCTGCAGATTGTAAAAGGAAGGTTCTAAAATCAGGAACCCTGGCTAATGTTGATGAATACTAAGTACTAAGTTCAGACAAAGAAGTTGTATTACCATGTTGTCGTCCATGGAGAGAGTCCACAGCCTTCTTAGCATTTTCTGAATGGCAGAAGTTGACAAATCCGAAACCTCTAGATCTTCCCATACCATCCCTCATAACCACAACACTAGAGACTGTTCCATATTGAGAGAACAGTCTATGCAGAATATCCTCTGTAACATTTTCCATCAGATTCTTCACATAAACGTTTGTAAATTCTTTATTCCCTGCCATAGCAACTCTTTCATTCTTGTTGATGAACTTGGCTACAAACCTAAAGAAAGAAACACAAAGTAAATAAACAACCATTTCATCATTAACCTTCAATGAATAAGAATCATCCTTACACTTACAGTTTCTTGCCATCAACCATAGAGCCATGGAGAGCAGAACGAGCAGCGACAGCAAATTGCTCTGTATTAAACTGAACAAAGCCAAAACCTTTACTTTTTCCATTCTCTTCAACGACTTTGCAAGAAAGTATAACACCAAAGGGGCTAAACATTCGCTCTAAGCCACTGCTAGTAATCGAGCTGTCCAGATTCTTAACGTATAGATTTCCAAACCCAGTACGACGACGGTACGAAAGATCCCTCTGAGACCACATTATTCTCATAGCCTTTCCCTTCAAATCAGTATGGTTTAAGCGAGCCATAGCGTTCGATGCTAATCCAGAGAATCAAACAAAAAACATGAAACAAAGATTCAGCAGAAGTAGTGATTTATCAATCGCAAGACAATCTTGAAGGAAAGCAACGAAATTTCTAGGGTTATAACAGACGAACGAAGGAAACGATTATATGTAAACAAGAACATGAAAGAGTGCGAAATCGAAAAACCCTAAACATTGAAACAAAAATCGGAGATTTTAGAACGGAGAAACGAAAAAAGTCGAAGTCTTTGTTTACCGCTGAAAGGTGAGTCGAAGTTGATGTAAGCGTAACACAAGGATTTTCCGGTGACAGAGTTACGACAAAGATGAACGGAGAGTACCGGAACAGTCAAAGAGAATCTGTGTATGAGATCTTGCTCCGTCACGTCTGGGTTAAGATCACCGACGTAAAGCGAAGCGAACGTTGAAGAATGTTGGTGGTTTTCTAGCGCCTGCGTTTCCGATTTCACGAGCGCCATTGTTGTTCTCACGAATCCTTCTCTCTATCTCTCTAGAATCAATGAGAAAGAACAAATTTTTTTCCCAAGAAAGTGATGAAGAAACTCTGCAGAGAAAAAGAGAGTAAATGGAGAAGACGAGAGCAAAAAGCAGAGAGGTCTGTTTTTTTGTCTTGGAGTGTGTATATATATAGATATATATGTATGTATGCATCGTTCTGTTATAACCGTAATCATAGCGCGCACAGAGACGACGGTACGATATTTGGTACGGAACTACACGCGCCGCGAGTACGTCTCAGTAAAGTCGCGTTATTTTGTTCATAACCCAAATTTAAGATTATCCAAAATGTTTTTCATTCCTCGCGTAATTAGCATTATATAAAATTATATTTTTAAAACTCAGCATTATATAGAGTAATATTTTAAAAACTCAAGCATCATATGATTTTTTCAAAAAGGATTTAAATATTAATTGTAACCATTAATTAAAATTATTTAATAAAAAAAGAACAAAAGAACAAAAACAGAAATCTGGTATTGGGCCAGCTGGGGACAAAGAATTTGGTCTACGTGGATAATCCTAAGTGGAAGAGAGCCCATTCCCAAATAATTTTGGGCTTATTACCTTTTTAGGTTACTATAAGGCCGGTAGTCTATTTTGGGTGTGTTAGTATGTAGTTTCTATAAGGCCCATTACGTAATTGCATTGAATTAAGTTTACTACAAACAAAAAAAAATTGCTTTGTGAGTTTTCTCTAAAGATGAATAGAACAAGGGTCACCAGATAAGGTAGTTTCATCCACTTTTGTGGTTGGAAAGTGGTTAGAAAAAGTTGCATTTGCCATGTCAATTAAAATGAAACTATTGGTATTTATATATCTCTCACACAGACAATTTAATGGATTCTAAAAATATTGCAATTCTCATAAATCTTCACATCACCAGTACATATATAAAAGATAAGGGCACGGGGAAGAGCGGTGGATTTAATGGATTCTAAAAATCTTGCAAGTTATCTTGCATTGTAGGGTTTTGGGTATGGTTCGAATTTTGTCGACATAAATGATAATCTTAAAGTAGCCTTTTGTAAAAGAATTCCCCTTGTTTACTTGCCACTATACTCATTACTCATTTGTTTGATTTATGTTCAAAATCATATTACCTAGCCACCTAATTCACTCAAACAAAAATATTTCTCTTTGAAACAATCGAAGATTTGACAACATTAGTTTATTTTATATTTTTATTCAAAAATAATCATTATTTTTATTTCCTCTTTTTCTTATTTTTAATAATCTTCTCTTTTTCTTATTCAACATTATTCTATTGTTGTCGGAAAAACTTTAGAAACTATCAACCAAATATTTATATTTTTTATTCAAAAACAATAATAATTTTTCTTTTTCCTCTTTTTTCTGTTCAACCATTCACATGTTGCTTTTTCCTAATTATGATTATGCATCATGCTTTCTCTATATCAAAAACTCCATGCACTCAACTATCTCTAGAGCCTGATCTCTATTGAACTGGTAGTTAGTGTTTTTTTTTTTTTGTGTCTATACATAACTTAAGAGTCATAGACCAGAGACCACTATACTAGTATGTTAAATATACACTTATCAGTTACCACACAACCGATTAATTCTTAAAGAGGGTTCCCTTTTGAGAATCGAGGTCAATTCACTACCATTATGCCAAATTAAAATGCGAGGGGCGTAAAAAGATAAAGCATATCTTTATTATGTATAATGAAAATCTTTCTTCTCAGAAAAAAAAAAAAAAAAAAAAAAAAAAAAAAAAAAAGAAGAGAAAAAAACATGAGTTGGCATTTCTTTATCCTGTAGAATGATAATCTTCCCCATCAGCTTCAATAGATCGTCGACGTGTACTCACTTTCATCATCCATTAAGTCATCAATTTAAAATTCCTCGTGAATCACGAGATGATATATAATATCACAAGAAATACGTTCAATGTATTTTCCGCTGGTCAATAAATACCCATGCAATTTTCCAAATGTAGATCACTCCACCAATCATTACTTTCTTCTCAGGTCATTTCTCTTCACACCTCTCTCCACTTCTCTTGTATGATTATAGTTTGTATAGGATGTGGTTATATGTATGTATATATATATATATATATATATATATATATATATATATTGATAAAAGATTTGGTTACATTTTGAATTGCAGGTAATATTAGTATAAGATTTATCAAACGCAAGCAAAAGAGATGGCCCAAAAGCTAGAAGCAAAGGGTGGTGAGACAGGGGATGTATGGGATGATGGTGTTTACGAAAATGTTAGGAAGGTCTATGTAGGGCAAGGCCAATATGGTATAGCCTTCGTCAAGTTTGAGTATGTCAATGGTTCTCAAGTGGTTGTTGGAGATGAACATGGAAAAAAGACAGAGCTAGGAGTTGAGGAGGTACTATAATAGATTTATATATGTTGATTGGTCAAGACTCAAGAGGATTATTAAACCAAAAAGACTCAAGAGGGTCTTTTTTTTTGTTGGTTTCCGCATTGAAAATTGTTTGGTTTCTTTGTAGTTTGAGATTGATGCGGATGACTACATCGTATACGTGGAAGGTTACCGTGAGAAAGTTAACGATATGACCTCAGAAATGATCACGTTTCTTTCTATCAAGACTTTTAAAGGCAAAACCTCTCATCCTATCGAAAAAAGACCTGGGGTTAAGTTTGTGCTACACGGTGGAAAAATCGTTGGGTTTCACGGCCGTTCGACCGACGTTCTACACTCCCTCGGGGCCTATGTTTCTTTGCCGTCCACTCCCAAATTGCTTGGAAAGTGGATTAAGGTAGTAATCTCTTAGACCAACACAAAAAAGATTTTTTTTTTTTATCTCATACATCTATATATATTAAAGTTATTTTATTTGTTACCACCGCAAAATCACTAATTCACGTATGAGAAATATTAAAATAAAGAATAAAAAAACAACAGGGGAAAAAGTTGGAATTCAGATGATGACAGTTTTGCACTTTATATTTTTATTAATTTTATCTTACAGTTAAGGAATTTTACTAATCAGAATAGAAATCCTTTTAAAAAATAGCTAACACATATTATTACTTAATTATAAGGTGGAGCAAAAAGGAGAAGGTCCAGGGCTAAGATGCTCACATGGCATAGCACAAGTAGGCAACAAGATTTACTCCTTTGGTGGGGAGTTCACACCAAATCAGCCCATCGACAAACACCTTTACGTCTTTGACCTCGAGACCCGGACTTGGTCCATTTCTCCAGCCACCGGAGACGTTCCACACCTCTCTTGCTTAGGTGTCCGTATGGTGTCAGTAGGATCGACCCTCTATGTCTTTGGAGGCCGAGACGCTTCACGCCAATACAACGGTTTCTACTCATTTGACACGATCACACACGAGTGGAAACTGCTAACTCCGGTCGAAGAAGGACCCACTCCTCGTAGTTTCCACTCGATGGCAGCCGATGAAGAAAACGTTTACGTTTTCGGTGGAGTGAGTGCTACGGCAAGGCTCAAGACACTAGACTCTTACAACATCGTTGATAAGAAGTGGTTTCAGTGCTCGACTCCAGGAGATTCCTTAACCGCAAGAGGAGGAGCAGGGCTCGAAGTGGTGAAAGGGAAGGTATGGGTTGTGTATGGATTTAACGGATGTGAAGTAGATGATGTTTATTACTACGATCCTGTTGAAGACAAGTGGACACAAGTGGAAACATTCGGTGTGAGACCTTCCGAAAGGAGTGTATTCGCTAGTGCGGCTGTTGGGAAACACATTGTGCTGTTTGGAGGTGAGATTGCGATGGACCCACTAGCTCACGCGGGTCCGGGTCAATTGACCGATGGGACTTTTGCGTTAGACACGGAGACGTTGCAATGGGAGAGGCTGGATAAGTTTAGTGAAGAGGAGGAGACTCCGAGTAGCAGAGGATGGACCGCGTCCACAACTGGGACCATTGACGGTAAGAAAGGACTTGTGATGCATGGTGGTAAAGCTCCAACCAATGACCGGTTTGATGATCTCTTCTTTTACGGAATCGACTCTGCCTAATTAAGTGCGATGTGATCATGACCGTTTGTGATTTTCTGTGTGTGTGTGTGTGTGATCAATAAGGCAGGGGTCGTGATACCACCATATGATCCTTCGTCAGCTTGCTCATTTTTTTTTTCTTAATATGTTTTTGTGTCTATATGTTTGTTTCACGTTTCGTGTTGTATCCAATAAATTGTTTATTTTCTTATAAGTAATCGCCAGATATAAAAAAAATCCAAACTAGAAGGGTCATATAGCTTACTATTAAATAAATAACAATGGATGTGTTGAAAACGCGTTTACGACAATAGCCCCATGCATGATTCATACAATATACGAGAGCAGTTGAGGAGGAGAGATGAGTCTACAAGGATCAATACTCAACTATCAGTTTATAAAAAAAAAATGAAAGAATAAGTAGAAACCTTAAATATATACTTTAAAATTATCCTATTATTAGTTTTTAATCCTTTAGAACGGACACTCGGTAAAAAAAACCAAACGAAAAGGCAGACGTACCATTGATTTGTTTGTTAGTAAACCTGATCATATTGCTTGTCGGAAAAATTGATTGTGTGGTGACCCACATCTGATATAGAATGGGGCCTTCGTTCCATGCATACTATCTTAATTTTGTAGTGAATTTGTCGGTAAATAATGTATTTTCCTACACTAGAAAAATGTCTAGAAATCCCAAACTAATTCTCAAACAAATAAGTTTTACTGGATCCCAGACTAATTCTCAAACTTCTACCATGTAACAAACATAAGAATGTAGTGTCAAAATATGCATGCCCTAATTTCAACCAACACGATGAATCATATCGATGTTTTATGAATCAAAATATGCATGCATGCCCTAATTCACTAGGAATAGTTTATGAGTTTTGACTTTAAGCAGTAAGCACCATCAACTTTCACATGTAACAGTCATACATTAGCTTTCTTTATTTACTTCCTCCGTATCGATGTTTTAGAGAAAAAAATTTGTTTGATTTTATATGATGTTCTTAACTTTTTTTAATCAAAATTAAATGTATTAATATTTTTGATCAATGATATTTACAAATATTTTCTTATTGGTTGAGTTAGTTATAGTTAATGAAGTTTTTAATGTGAAAGTGGTAAATTAAATGAATTTTTTATGATTTTTAATATATGTGTAAAAATTTTAAACATCGTTCAAAATGAAACAGAGAAAATATAATTGTTTTGAAAAAAAGAATAGAAAGAAAGAGTATAATCGTATGTAAGATGATTATATCTGTCAAAGATCCTAAATATAACAAATAATATAATTGTATGTAAATAAATTATCTCTATCAAAGATATCACATATCCAAAAAAAAGTGTTACATCAAGCTTAGCTCAAAAGTTTTGACTTTTTGCACCATCATATTTCACGTGTAAGAGTACTCCCAACAATACAATATTAAATGTATAAAAATCGTCATTAATGAGTTCTTTCAACGTAAGAGGAAAATATTATATTTCCCCCTTTTTAGATGATGTTTTAGACTTTTAGACAGTACTAATTAAGAAAGTTTCTATAATACCTATTTTAACTTTTTCACAATTAACTAAAAAAATAAAAATAAATTTTGGTGGAAGAAAACAAAAAAAAATCAATCGTCACATGAAAGACGATCGCAACTTTACACAAGTAACCGCCGCCGTTAGACATTTTCTCCGGCCGGCGCTGGACTTTTCGGCGTCGGTCGGGTTCCTTTCTATTTATTTAGTTTTGTTCTACTTTCTGTCTCTGTTTCTTTCGATGGGCGACACTTTCTTCCGATCTATGGTTTTCCTTCGGATGGTGACTTTATCCGTGTTCGTGCTTACACCGGCGACAAACATTCACCACTTTCATGTCAAGTGGATATCAGATCCGAAGGCAGAAGCGAACCCGTCTCATGGGACGGTAATACCTCTGGTCGATGAAAAAGGAACCGTTTTGCGGGAGTCTCAAGTCTATATACCATGTCTCATCCGGTCCTCCGTGGTGAAGGTCTTTTCCGGCGAAGTCGCCGAGGTATATCCGGTATGTATTACCGAGTTTTTATCGAAACTAACATATTTTGTTAGTTTTATGGTAGTCTCCGAAGACCACTGTTTCGTGGCTTTTCGATGGTTGATACAAATCTCTTTGGATTTGTTAATGAGACAACGACCACCACGAAAACCGCCATGGAATCAACCCACAACGGAGGATGGAGATGCGATTATGATGCGAATCAGAAGATCAGATCAACAACAAGTATGGGTTTACGCTACAATCACAAAACTTCATATCTCTTTCTTCAGGAGAGTTCCCAAATCTAGGGTCTTGCGATGTAACGGATGGATCGCAGACTATGACTTTCGAAAGCGTAAAAGATGGTGCATCGATAAAAAGAAGATGTTTCCCAAGCTAGAGAGTCACACAAGATTGACGGATACGACGAAAGCAACTAAGCATATCATTCGGATTGCGGCGCTTGAACTTTTTTGCTTTTTCGTTACAAATCTATTTGATTGTGTTCATACTCTTATGTTTTAACAATGTAATCTTTGGTTCACATTAATAAAGTTATGATTTGATGTTAAAAAAAAAAAAAAAAAAAATCAATCGTCACATTTATCTGTATAATGGACGATAACTGAGAAATTAATTTGAGTTTGTGAATATTTTAAATGGTAATTGTTTGATTGCATGTATCTCTTGTAAAACATTAAATTAATCCAATAGAGATGATTGAAACTTTCAAAACCAAAAAAAAAAGAATCCTTCAACGGCCTAAGAACCCTAAGAAGAGACTATGAATCTGTTAAGACAAAAGTTAGGGTTTCTTCAATCTTGTACATAGGATCAGAGAAGCCATAGAAATGGTGGATCGTGGAATTGCGAAAAACAATGTTGACATATGGGAATTTGGTGTCCCAATGAGCAGAGCCGACTAAAATTGATTTTGGGAAGAACTTTTTGAGTCCATGCATAGTTTGAAGAATTGTCTCGCCTCTAAGCTATCGTCTATATGCTCAAAGTTTTGGGATCCACGCCACAAGAAGAAGGTTTGATTCACTTTCTCCATTGAATTAAATCATCTTCATAGATATGTTTTTAAACGTAATCAAAGTATCAAAGTTTCTCTGCCAAAACAGAATTTTCAACTCCATAAAGATAGAAATTAAAGACATCAAACTCCTACTAGAATTGTCACACACGGAACTAAAGGAAATAAAATCCCTTCTAATTCTTCCTCGCTTGAGCGAGATTGCTTAGATAATTGGAGAAGGAAGAGAAGAAATCACCAGCGTGGGAGGAGTCATGTTTGAGAGACGCGTCTTCATTTTTTCTCTTTTACTTAAAAAAATAAAATTGTTCTTTTATTATTTTGGTTTTTAGGTGATTTGGTATTGGTTTAAGTTGTTAACCGATTAAACCAATGTTTGTGTGTACTGAGATTTCAAACTCGATTCGTGAAATGTAGAATTAGAAATACCTTTTGGGGAATATCCAATACTATACCATTAATTTGGGCTTTATTATTTGCAATGTGATAATTCTCATGAAAAAAAAGATCGTTGCCCGTATTTTATATATACACTTGCCACACAAGCCAGCCTTTAAGTGGGTTTAATCATATAATTGAGGGAAACATGGAACACTATCATGAGCCCACGATGCAAGGAGCGAAGGACGATGCGAGGGACGCTTATACTAATTTGATGAACGTGGTGGTGGCTCTGAATGATATAGAAGATCGAAAAAAAAATGATATAAACTTAACGCAGCTGCTTAACAATTAAAAAATTATTTAATTGTCTTATATGTTTTGCAAGTTTTGATGCAAAATTTAAATAAATTTACTATTTTATGATCATTTATAGTATGCAATTTATTCTATGATTGCTTGAATTGTTTTAATAAAAATAAAAAATGATAATTTTTGTAAAATAAATTTCTTAACATATTCGTAATATATGCGTTATTAATAAAAAAAAATCATATAAAATAGGACAGAAAGAAATTCAAAGAATATAAGATATTTTCCCTTAAAAGCGGTTGACAAAAAAAAATAAGATACTTTTCCGTTAATATAAGATGTTTTAGCTAAAGCACGCAGATTTAAAATATCTATTTTTAAAAAATTTAACTAATTATAAAAGAGATAATCATAAAATATTAAATTAATTTATAATTTGCATAGAAACTTGAAAGCATCTTATATTATGATACAGAGAGAGTATTAGTGAATGAGATTAAAATAGATATCATACCAAATTTATTTATGTGTATAATCGTTTTTTTTTTAACTCAAAGAAATTTCTTAATAAACACTATCAAAAGAACAAAACTTCAACTACAAACTAAATAAAAAAACAGAGGACGAACTAGTATTACTCATACTGAAAAAAAACAGGGCATGAAACCCCATACAACCGGATTGATTAATCAAACATTTCGATGCAAAGATATCATTCAATCATCTAGGGAATTTTGTAGCAACGTAGCCGATCTTCCACCGTAACACTTAGAGAGACTCCTTTATTTGTTCCACCACTCACAAAATTCATAGACCATTTAGCAATGTGGCTTAGAGAGCTGTGCCAATCTATTGGAGGCAAAATATATCCAATCACATCTTTAGCTTCAGATTCAAATATCACCCGATCGAGAAAGATGATGACTGCACAAAATCTCAATAGCCCATAGAAGACATATTTGTTTTACTTCCATCAAGCTATTCATCTACCACTCCTCTAAAATCCCGTAATACCCAAGCTGCACCACCTAATTTATTGAGCCTTGACCAAAAAATTCAATTGTACACTTCAACCAACCTTCTTGCGGAGAATCTTTAAACAATACTACTATTTATTTTGGTCAGAGAATAGTATACTAATTTAATTCCTCGCGATCAACGAGTAATAGAACGAGTAAAGAAATACGTCGCGTGTATCTTCTTCCATTAGTCAATAAATACCAATGCAGTGTTCCAAAATGGATCACTGCACAAATCATTACTTCAGTGTCACTCTCAGGTCAGCTCTCTCCACATCTCTCTCATATGATTGTACTATGTATAAGATTTGGTAATATTTGTAATGTTTACAAGTAAAATTCGTAACGACAGGTATTATTCGTAGGAGATTGATCAAACGTAAGCAAAAGAGATGGCCCAAAAGGTTGAAGCACAAGGAGGAAATGGAGGCAACCAATGGGATGATGGATCCGAATACGACGCTGTGACCAAGATTCAAGTCGCAGCAGACGGGAACGGAATTGAATATGTTAAGTTCACATACGTTAAGAACGGACAAACGGAAGAAGCCCCTCTACGCGGTGTCAAGGGCCGTAGTATCGAAGCAGATCCGGTTCATATATAAATTTTCCTTGCATATTTATTCATTTTTATCTATAAGGACATTGACGTGAATTACTATAAGATTTAGATTATATATTGTCAAGGGCTTGTTCAAAATGTTCTTTTTAAGAAATTGACATATTGATCTTGATCTCAACGTACAGTTTGTGATAAACCATCCGGAGGAGCACTTAGTTTCTGTAGAAGGTCGGTATGACCCTGAAGGACTTATTCAAGGGCTGAAGTTCAATTCCAACAAGAAGACTTCTGATCTCATTGGATATGAAGATGGTACACCGTTCACTCTCCAAGTTCAAGACAAGAAGATCGTTGGCTTTTATGGCTTCGCCGGAGACAATCATCTTGTTGACATTCTCACATCCACTCATCTCTAACCATCAAGGTTAGATCTCTCTCTTGATCTCTCTTCATATCTCTTGTTCTTGTTTTGTTTCTCTTCACATACATAAACGATTTGATCTTTAAGAGAGAAGAGAGATTTTCTTTAGTGGTCTACATTTTACTAAACTTGGATACACTTCTTACAAAACACACACACACATACATATAGTGGTTTCTCTACTTACCACTTGCACTTAGACCATACTTTAGATCATCATGACTCTTACACACTAGACCACACTCCTAGTTACTAACTCTTACACAAGCCACTCTACTACAACAACACTTAACATCACATGGGAACTCTAATTCCCTCAATTCACTCTCTTTAGACACCTAGCTACTACTTAGACTTTAACCAAAAACAACATTCTTCTTACTGGGCTTTACTTATTTCGTAGGCCCATTACAACACTCCAAAAACCACAAGCCCAACTTCTTCTTCCTTGTTGACTTTGTTTTTCTTCTCCTTTGTCGTTGACCTCTCTGTCACGACATCTTCTTCTTCTTCACTTGCTTCTTCTTTGCTTTGCTTCTTCATCTTCTGAAGCTTCTTCTTGTTTCTTCTTCTTGCAGGTTTAATGAAGGATTCATAATTCCAACACATCTCCATTCTCTTGGAGCTTACTTTGCTCCGTTGCCTAATGTAAATGCCAAAAAGCTAGAAGCAAAGGGTGGTGAGACAGGAGATGTGTGGGATGATGGTGTTTACGACAATGTTAGAAAGGTGTATGTCGGGCAAGGTCAATATGGTATAACCTTCGTCAAGTTTGAGTATGTCAATGGTTCTCAAGTACTTGTTGGAGATGACCATGGAAAGAAGACAGGGCTAGGGAGTTGATGAGGTATTAAAAAAGATATTTCTGTGTTGTGATTTGTCAAAAGGGTATACTTTTTTTTTTTTTATTGGTTTCCTCCCTGAAAATGATTTGGTTTCTTTGCAGTTTGAGATTGATGCGGATGACTACATCGTATATGTGGAAGGTTACCGTGAGAAAGTTAATGATATGACCTCAGAAATTATCACGTTTCTTTCATTCAAGACTTATAAAGGCAAAACCTCTCAGCCTATCAAACAAAGACCTGGGGTTAAGTTTGTGCTACAAGGTGGAAAAATAGTTGGGTTTCACGGACGTTCGACCGACGTTCTACACTCCCTCGGAGCCTATGTTTCTTTGTCGTCCACTCCCAAATTGCATGGAAAGTGGAGAAAGGTAGTGGTCTCTTAGACAACTATATATGTTTATTTTCATTAATTATATCTCACCATGGGAGCTAGTTCACTAAGCAAAATCTAAATCATTTATAATAAAAATCTTAAGTAACAAATATCATTAATTAATTATAAGGTGGAGCAAAAAGGAGAAGGTCCAGGGCTAAGATGCTCACATGGCATAGCACAAGTAGGTAACAAGATTTACTCCTTTGGTGGTGAGTTCACACCAAATCAGCCCATCGACAAAAAACTTTACGTCTTTGACCTCGAGAGCCGGACTTGGTCCATTTCTCCAGCCACCGGAGACGTTCCACACCTCTCTTGCTTAGGTGTCTGTATGGTCTCAATAGGATCGACCCTCTATGTCTTTGGAGGCCGAGACGCTTCACGCCAATACAACGGTTTCTACTCATTTGACACGACCATAAACGAGTGGAAACTGCTAACTCCGGTAGAAGAAGGACCCACTCCTCGTACTCGTAGTTTCCACTCAATGGCAGCCGATGAGAACAACATTTACGTTTTCGGTGGAGTGAGTGCTACGGAACGGCTCAAGACTCTAGACTCTTACAACATCATTGATAAGAAGTGGGTTCATTGTTCTTCTCCAGGAGATTCCCTTACCGCAAGAGGAGGAGCAGGGCTCGAAGTGGTGAAAGGGAAGGTATGGGTTGTGTATGGATTTAACGGATGTGAAGTAGATGATGTTCATTACTACGATCCTGTTGAAGACAAGTGGACACTAGTGGAAACATTCGGTGTGAGGCCTTCCGAAAGGAGTGTATTCGCTAGTGCGGCTGTTGGGAAACACATTGTAATGTTTGGAGGTGAGATTGCGATGGATCCACTAGCTCACGTAGGTCCCGGTCAATTGACCGATGGGACTTTTGCGTTAGATACAGAGACGTTGCAATGGGAGAGGCTGGATAAGTTTGGTGGAGAGGATGACACTCCGAGTAGCAGAGCAGGCCCGGCCCGAAGCAGAAGCCCAACAAGCAAGGGCTTCTGGCAGCAGATTTTATAAGAAATTTTAGGGGCATCATTTACGGGGATGTCTTATAGTCTAGTGGTAAGGGTAATATGCCATCTTATGTCAAACCAGGGTTCGACTCCCTTTGGCATTTTTTTTCTAAATTAATTTTTTTTTTTAAATTCGTTTTCATTAAAAAAATAAAATAAACGAGTATTCTGTTTTCTTTTGTTAGACTAATTAAAATTAAATAATTAGTTAATAAATAATTTAAACTCAAAAACCTAGTTTTTTTTACCCGTGACAAGTTCTATTATTCCTCTTTGTCGATCACAATCAAAACCCTATAAAAAAATTCCAGCTTCTTCTCCATCTTAATCTCTTACACCAGTTGTTTTCTAACTTTAATCTCTGTTCCTTACTCATGTATGTCTTCTTCTATTTCTCTTTTCTTTCTTATCAAGTTTGCCAATCTCTGTAGTTTCTTTTTATTTTTCCAAAGGAATAGTTTAGAGGTTTTCTCACTTAGGACTTTATCAGAATTCAGAAAAATTAATATACAATGGATCAATAATTGAATAATTAAGACTGGAATTTTTAGACCCCATGATAAGATATCGTTGTTTTTGTGTTTATGTCTTTTGTTATTTTTCTGTTTCTATTTTTGTTTTCTCATTATGAAATCTTGTTATTATTATTTGTAGTACAATGCCACCAGGAGGTAGAAGCCAACCAAGTGGATGTGATAATAGGAAAAGAAAAAACAGACGAGACGAACTAACGAAATCTCAAGTTGGTGATATGTTAAGGTACGTTACGAGAACTCATAATTCTGGAATTGATGAGACTGCTGGACAAGAGATAGGTAAAGAAGATGAAGGGCCTATTAATATGGAGGAGAATGCAGATGACAATAGTGGAGAAAAAGTGGTGGAGGATGATGCAGATCATACGAATGATAATAGAGAAAAACAGTTTGAAAGTGAAAACATGAAAGAAGATGAGAGAGTTGATGAGAAAGTTGATGAGATTAGAGTTTTTTATGAGAATGTGGATATGACTGATCCTGCAAATTGGGAGAAGATAGACCAGAAAATGAGAGATTATTTGGTTGAGAAAGGACCACCTCCAAAACCACCAGCTGATTACCGTTTTCCAAGAGATGATATTGATAGATGTTTCACTTATTCATCTTATATTAGAAGAATGAATAATGGAGAGAAACAAGTTAGACGATGGTTAGTTTACTCGAAAGTAAAAGATAAGATCTTTTGCTTTTGCTGTAAATTATTCGATCAAGAAACAACTCCTACTCTGTTGGCAAGTAGTGGGTTTAATGACTGGAGAAATGCTTCGCAAAGGCTGAAAAGACATGAAACAACTCATCGTCATATTATTTGCATGACTCGTTGGATGGAGTTAGAACTGAGGTGGGAAAAGAATAAAACTATTGATAACCATAGGCAAGAAGCAATTAAGAAGGAGAAAAAGCATTGGAGAGATGTACTGTTGAGAATAATTGCAGTGGTAAAGACTCTAGCTGAACAAAATTTAGCATTTCGTGGAACTAATGAGAAGATTGCTGATCCAAATAGTGGAAATTTTTTGGCATTTATTAGGATGATTGGAGGTTTTGATTCGGTAATGAAAGAACACATTCGACGGGCTAATAAGGGTGAAATTCATTGCCATTTTCTCAGCCATAAGATTCAGAATGAGTTGATAGAATTACTTGCTAATGAGACCAAGATGATGATCTTAAAGAAGATTAAAGATGCGAAGTATTTTTCAGTCATTCTTGATTCCACTCCCGATGTTAGTCGTAAAGAACAAATGACCTTCTTAATTCGATGTGTGGATGTTTCAACGAGTTCACCAAAGATTGAAGAGTTCTTCTTGACATTTCTAGAAATCAAAGATAAGAGGGGCGAGGGACTTTTTAAGACTCTTCAAGATGCATTGATTGATCTTAAATTGAATATCGATGATATAAGAGGACAAGGATACGACAACGGACAAAATATGAAGGGAAAACATAAAGGTGTTCAAAAAAGGTTGCTTGATATAAATCCAAGGGCATTTTACACTCCATGTGGATGTCATAGTCTTAACCTTGCACTTTGTGATATGGCTTCATCATCCAAGAAAGCTGTTTCTTTTTTTGGCATTGTTCAGCGAATATATTGTCTATTTGCAGCTTCAACCAACAATTGGGAAGTGTTCAGAGAAATGGTGAATGGTATTACACTTAAACCGTTGTCTCAAACGCGTTGGGAAAGTCGCATTGATAGTCTTAAACCAATAAGATATCAAGCTTCAAAGATACGAGATGCACTCTTTTATTTGGCAGAATACAGTGATAATCCAGGACACCGAAGTGATGCTGAGTCTCTTGCAGAGAGTGAAACACATGGAATTGGAGGGTTTGAATTTTTATTTGGAATGGTAATTTGGTACGATTTGCTTGCTGCTGTGAATATAGTAAGCAAATCCTTACAGTCGGAGGATATGGATCTGGAGGTTGCTATTTCTCAGTTAGGAGGGCTTATTACTTATTTGAAAAACTATAGAGAAACAGGTTTCGAGAAAGCCAAAGCTGAAGCTACACAAATTGCCATTGAGATGGAGATTGAGCCGGTATTTCCTACAAAATCGAAGCGCTTGGTGAAAAAAAAGAGGCAATTTGGTGAGGATGTTGAGAAGGTTGATGAAAGTAAGACTGCAGAAGAGCGTTTTAGAATTGATTACTTCATCAATATAATGGATCAAGCTATAATGTCTCTTGAGGTAAGATTCGAGCAATTCCAATGTTATGAGAAAATCTTTGGATTTTTGTTTGCTGTAAAGAGATTGAAGTTAGCAGAAGATGATGAGTTGAAGACATCGTGTATGAAGCTTGAAGCTTTTTTGAAGCATGATGTGCATTCAGATGTAGATGGAGAGGATCTGTTTATGGAGCTGAAACTTTTAAGAGATGTGTTGCCAAAAGAGATTACAAAGCCGGTCGAAGTGTTGGAATTTTTGAAAAGAATGGATGGTTGTTATCCAAACACATGGATTGCTTATCGTATATTACTCACCATTCCGGTTTCAGTTGCTTCTGCGGAGAGAAGTTTTTCAAAACTAAAGCTCATAAAAAATTATTTACGTTCGACTATGTCTCAGGAGCGATTGAATGGTTTGGCGCTGATATCTATAGAACAAGAACTGGTTGAGAGGCTTGATTACCAAAAATTGATGAATGAATTTGCAGGAGCGAAAGCAAGGAGGATTATCTTTCGCCATGAAGAAAACTGATGTTTCTGTTATTTTTTGCTTGTTTACAATTTTTTCTGTTCAACTCTTATAAACAAATTAAGTTTCATGGTATTTTATTTTGCGAAAAAAAAAATTTTGGGGCATCATTTTTGAATTTGCTTTAAGCATCAAATATCCTCGGGCCGGCACTGTAGCAGAGGATGGTCCGCATCCACGACTGGGGCCATTAATGGTAAGAAAGGACTTGTGATGCATGGTGGTAAAGCTCCAACCAATGACCGGTTTGATGATCTCTTCTTTTACGGGATTGAGTCTGCCTAATTAAGCCGATTCGATGATGACCGTTTGTGATTGTGTTTGTGTGTGTGTGATGCAAATTGCATCATGCAATAAGTGAAGGGTCGTGATATGATCCTTAGTGAGCTTGTCCATTTTCGGTTTGTTTTTTTTTTTCTTTTTTTCCCTAAATGTTTTTTTTCTTTTCGTTTCTATATGTTTGTTTCACGTTTCGTGGTTTATCGAATAAATTGTTTATTTTCTAAGAAATCGCCAGATTTAACAATATGCAAACTAGGAGGGAGAGCCGTAGCTTAAAATCTATATATAATAGCAATTTAATAAATACCATTTGCACATCTGAACGGTTGCGTCTTTTTATCGCAACTTTTCGTTAATATTTTTATTAATTAAAATATATATTTTACGGTTATGTTTTTTATTTATAAATTGCATTCTGAATATTTTTTACGGTTGCGTTTTTTATTGTAACTCTTTATAAACAGTTGAAACCGCTTATTCGAATCATTGCAATATTTAGTTTATTTTACGAACAATTGCAACCTTTGGTTTATATATTTAGTTTATTTCACGAACAATTGTAATTTTTGGTTTATTTTATAAATAGCTATAACATTTAATTATCTACCGCCGCGTCTCTCGGTGTAACTCTTCATAAATTATTATTTTAAATCTTAATTTTTAATTATTAAAATGTATTTAAATGAGATTCTATATATAATAGCAATCTAATAAATACCATTTGCACATCTGAACGATTGCGTCTTTTTATCGCAATTTTTCGTTAATGTTTTTATTAATTAAAATATATATTTTACGGTTATGTTTTTTTTATATAAATTGCATTATGAATGTTTTCTACGGTTGCGTTTTTTATTGTAACTCTTCATAATCAGTTGAAACTGCTTATTCGAATCATTGTAATATTTAGTTTATTTTACGAACAATTGCAACCTCTGGTTTATATATTTAGTTTATTTCACGAACAATTACAATTTTTGGTTTATTTTATAAATAGCTATAACATTTAATTATCTACCGCCGCGTCTCTCGGTGTAACTTTTCATAAATTATTATTTTAATTCTTAATTTTTAATTACTAAAATGTATTTAAATGAGATTGTAACTATTTAATTGAACTGTTTCAACATTTGGATTATTTGACGAATTATTGCAACTTTTGGTTTTGTGTTACGAACCATTGTTATATTTGATGAACTATTGCAACATTTGGTATAATTGACGAACCGTTGCAGTTTTTGGAATATTTGATATCTACGGTTGCGTTTCTCGGATAAGTTCATCATATTTTTTAAAAATATTTAAATACTAAAATATATTTAAATGAATTGTTGTTACCGTTTAATTTAACACAATAGCATTTGGTTTATTTGACGTTGAACGTTTTGGCTTATTTATCAAACCATTGTAATATTTGTTTTATTAGTTTATGCTTTTTGCACTTGGGAATAGTTTTTTAGTTACAAATTATTGTTTTCTAATATTAATCAAATATATGAAAG